GAGTATACTCGTCGATGGCACTGTGATAGAACTTTTTACTGACTATGCCAAGTGCGAGTTATCTCGTCCTCTTTTTGCATGGGTTGGTATATGTTCAAAGGGCGCCCCCACTTGTACCGCTCGAGAGTACTACCGGCAACGTAACACAACAAACATACATATGTCATTTGTACGTTATCGTCTAGGTGTATCTTCCCCGAACTACCAGCCGTTGAGTCTACATTGTATAATAAAGAAGTTATAAACGCTAGAATGTTCCCCCGTTTTTGACGAGTATACTCGTTCCTGGCGCCCTCAGCAACACCCTGTGGGCGAGTATACTCGTCGCTGGCAGCCAACGTGTTAAACCTACCAGGTATTCGTACTCCTGGGTGAAGAGAGGCGGTGGGAAAGTGCCTTGCCTAAGGACACAAGCGAAATGCACAGCGAGAGATTGAACCTTCGACCTTAAGGTTGAGAAGTAGAACCACAACCGCTATGCCAATCCACTCCTATACACTTAAGACTTAAAGGCTTTATTAGTAGTCTTCTGATAAACAGTGCCCTAGGTATCCTGTATGTCATAGGTAGATCGGTCCATTGTTGAGAGCACACATACTGACTATGCCCCCAATTTTAACTAACTGGGCTATATTTTCCTTTATCATAAACTTCATTCAGTTTTAATCATTTATTTTACATTCATGTATTACAGGGCCGAAGATATAGAGAATATTATGGAGATGGAGTACATTGACAACAAACCATGTTTAGATTTGTTGACCTGTCCAGTAAGTCTGCATATTTTTAATTTTTTTTTTTTTTCCCCAATTTTATTTCCAAATTGTCTCAAAATAGTATATCTTTAATATATATTGGATATACTGTATTTAGTAATTCGATCAATTTTCCTTTTGCAGACAAATGGAATTCTTACAATTCTGGACAAAGAGACTTTTTATCCAAAATGTAGCTGTGAAAACTTTATTGAATCCCTTGAAAATTTACATCAGGACCACAATAGGTTGGTAGCCTGCAAGGTTTTTTACACTTTTAGTGTAGCTTATGATTGTTGGATAAAGGAGTCTAAGGAGGGCCTTAAGCTACTTGATCCCACTGGTGCCCAGTGGCATATCTTGGAGTCTTGAAATGGGGGGGGGGGGCCTGATGGGGGTGCGAAGGTGGAGTGGGAGGGGGTACAATGATTAAGTGAGGTGATGCTAGCTTGTAAAATAGGGTGATTTTTAATTACTTGAGCATTATTTTTTTTTGCTTCAAACATTTTTTGATCAAGTAACACTGGGGGAGATGGGCAAGTTATTTTTCGGGAGGGGGCATGCACTCCTAGACACGCCACTACTGGTACCACCACTAGGCTCCAAGTCTCTTGTTTCAATATATCTTAAAGCAGATATAGTATTTGACTATCAATGCATGCACACTATATATATTTTTATTGAAATATGTTGTAATAAATAAACATATTTGCACAGATATTTTTCTCCTGCTGTGGATCGTGACCAATCATTTGGTGTGAAGCATTTTGCGGGAAACGTGGTTTACGATGCCAACGCCCTTTTGGAAGGCAATCGAGATGTGCTGAGCGACGACATTGTTAGTGTGTTTCATAAAAAGGCGTGTAACTTTGGTTTCGCAACTCATCTCTTCTGTCATGAGTTGCAAGCTTTAGAAGGTATGTGAACAAAAAACTGCCGGTGTTAAATTTCATTATCTTCCAAGAAAATATGATTATGATTAAATACTGCATGTGGGCTGAAGCATTGTTGATAAGGTCAAATGTTACTGGGTGTGAACTGAACCATAGAGATTTTTGTCTGGTAACATTTCATTCAGCTGTTGTTCATGCTTTCCAGCTGACTTAAAAACACAATTAATATTGCTCATATTTAACATTTAATTATACCATTGATTGATTAATGAATTGATTGATATATTAATTGATTGATATATTGATTGATTGATTGATATATTGATTGATTGATTGATTGTCATTACAGGTGGCAGTCCAAGTGGTACAATATTTAAAGTTTTCTCAAGTTTTCATTCAGACAACTCAAGGTAATCTAATTAATTATTGAATGACAGTCCTAAAGTTTATAAATCCTTGTAAATGCAAAACAACTTTTAATTAGTTCATCCATTGTTCATACTATTTTTCCTGCCATTTTAATCCCAACATCATTTGTGATTGCACTTCATTCATATGGGATTAAATGAATGAATGATTTCAACTTTTAATGTCTTTGCTTTTGTATGTTATTAGTATTGCTTATTAATCCTCCATTGTTCATACTATCTTTCCTGCCATTTTAATCCCAACATCATTTGTGATTGCACTTCATTCATATAGGATTAAATGAATGAATGATTTTATGTATAAATGAATAAATGAATGCAAAACAACTTTTAATTTCTTTGCTTTTGTATGTTATTAGTATTGCTTATTGATCCTCCATTGTTCATACTATCTTTCCTGCCATTTTAATCCCAACATCATTTGTGATTGCACTTCATTCATATGCGAATAAATTATTGAATGTTTTCCTGTATAAATGAATAAATGAATTAATAAATAGATAGTAAGTAGAAATATTTCTTTATTCTGGGTATTCAGTATTAGTACACTGTATAAATGAATAAATAAATGCAAAACAACTTTTAATTTCTTTGCTTTTGTATGTTATTAAATTTTGAACTAAATACTGTAAATTTTGTTTTATTAACATTAATTGTTAATTATATTAAACCATTTAGATATGGTGGCTACATTTTTGTCAATGATAGATTGTAATTTATTTGATTCAGAAGCAGAACAAAGAATACTAGTATCATCTGCAAAAATTACATAAATGGATACCTAACTATATGAATTACTTAAAAAATAAATGAAAATAAACACAAGTAAATTTGATCAGATGCCAAATAAAAGATTAAAGTTTGATATAAATAGTAGTATATTCCTATGTACAAAGATGTATTTGAAAAAATATATAATAAATATACCAATACAGTACTTATATTATCGGTGGAAAGCCCAATGCTTTACTGTTCCTACATAAATAATGGTACTGTAATATTTGTAGTTGTTTTTATTATTTTTATAGAAAGAGTTACGAAGGTGTGAAAAGCACACATATGCAAGATTTCCAAGTTCGACTCGAAAGTTTACTGAAAACTTTGCGACAGTCAACTCCACACTTTATTAGATGTATTAGGGTGAGTATGAATAAGACTTGAGTATAGTACAAATGCATTCATTTGCAGAAACATATATTGAGTGTGACTCAGGATAGTTTAAATCAGTATTGTTTGAGTTAAGTATGAATTTGAGTATGGCATACTGTGAATTTGATATTGAGTATACTTAAGTACAGGATAAGTAAAACTCAACAAGATATGTTGAGTGTACCTCAACTTGAGTTGAGTGAACCTAATTTACCTTAGTATGTGGCAAGTGTGATTTAGTATGAATTAACTTAGAATTGCATCCTGGTGTACTGAGTGTTGTCTCCTAATTTATCAAAGTATATGTTGATTCCGATTAAGTTTGAATTAAGTATGACTCACGATGTAATGAGTGTGCCTCAGTGTGAGCTGATTATGCCTTTACTCAATCAAGGTGTACTGTTTGTCTTCATGTGAGTTTAGTATACCTATTTTTAAGTACTACTTAATTATGTACTCAAAATGTATTCAGAGTATTTTAAGTATGAGTTTTAGAAAATGCCTAATGCAGACATTGTGAGTAGGACTTTAAAATGTGAATTGATTAAAAAAAAAGTGGCTTGAACTTAATTGAAACAGACAAATAGCACTAAAGAATCACCAAAAGTGTCAGTTTATTAAGATATTAAGGGGCATGAACTTAGTTGAGTGTATACAGTATATCGATTTTCAATATTGAGTAGAAACAAAGCTGAACTAGTTGCTTGAAGCTTTTCTAATATTGACTTAAATCACTGAAACAGCCAAATAACATTGAAGAATCACCAGGAGTGTCAATTTATTAAGATATTAAGGGGCATGAACTTATTTGAGTGTATATATGGATTTTCAATATTGAGTGCAAACAAAGCTGAACTAGTTGGCTTAAGCTTTTCTAATATTGACTTAAATCTCTGAAACAGCCAAATAGCAAAGAAGAATCACCGAAAGTGTCAATTTATTAAAAAATTAAGAGGCATGAACTTAGCCGAGTGTATATATCAATTTTCAATACGGAGTAAAAACAAAGCTTAGCTAGTTGTTTAAAAAGCTTTTCTAATATTGACTTAAATCTCTGCGACAGCCAAATAACTCTGAAGATCATGTGACATTTGACCAAGAAGTGGTGAAGGAACAACTGAGGGTGCTGCAAGTTCTAGAAACAACTCATCTCTATGCAGGAGGTACAGTACTGTTAATGTCATTTACAATAATAATGAAGATAAGAAACAGCCTAATGAAAATGCGCTTGGCATGATTACCAGGGTCTCATTGGGTCAGACGACTAGAGCACATGCTTAGCTCCGTGGAGATTATTCCTTAATATTGTGGGTAGTAGTCAAAGCATTGATATTCAAATCTACTATGTACCCACTTATACTCCTGGAGAAAGAGACTAGAAGTATCATGAGTGAATTTCCTGTACAATTAAAAATCAAAAATGGTACTGGGTTTGCTCTACAGGGGTTTATGCTTCATACAGGTCATTCCATTCACAGAAGAAACCTTTATTGGAGAAATTACTATTTATTACTTGTATATATAAATTTAATATTGTGTATAAAATATTATAACATTTTTTGTAGTGAAAGCATTTTTAATGTGAACAATGATTAGCCGTAAATGTTGTATAGAGGTCTAGGTCTAATAATATTAAAATAAAGTAAATGTAATTCTAGTGTTTAAATTGTTTTTATATAACAATAAGATACAAGAAGAAGAAGGAAAACAAAGAGATTTGTAGTGAAAATGATATTAATAATGATATATAGCTCATTATTTTATTTTACATTTTTGTAGTAAATTTAGGATACTAATAATTAGAGGACAAGTAAAATGCTAATAATCTGTATTGAAAGATGGGTATTAAGTTCTTGGATTTATGCATATTTATTTAGTACATTTTTATTTATGTAGAATAATAATAATTAATTATTTTCCGTAGGCTATCCAAATAGGATGATTTTTTGGGAATTTAGCAAGAAATATGGATTCAATTATTATCATTGTACTATTTTTATTATCATTTCTAATATTTGATGAATAGCGCTGGATCTTTCATTTCATTTTATTCGAAATTCATATACAGCATAAAAATTTCAAGGATAAAAGCACAATAAAGTAACTCAAGGTCAAACTTATTTCCATTTTGGTCCTTAAAAATTAATTAATTCCAGATATGATTTCATAGCAACAACCAAAATATTCAGTCAACACAATGACCATTACCATCAAATAGATATAATTTATGTGTGATTTATGCATATTTATTTAATAAATTTTTATTTATGGAGAAGAATAATGATTTTCCTTAGGCTATCCAAATAGGATGACTTTTGGGGAATTTAACAAGAAATATGGATTCTTTGCCCCAAAACGAATGCTTCACAAAACCGAAGACAAGGTTGTCCAAGATTGCAAGGTAAGACTGCTGATTGTTATAGCATATTTAAATCTGCCATGTAACTACAAGATTGTGCAAGATTTTAAGGTGAAATTCATTGACTGCTGATTGTTATAGCATATTTAAATCTGCCATGTAACTACAAGATTGTGCAAGATTTTAATGTGAAATTCATTGACTGCTGATTGTTATAGCATATTTAAATCTGCCATGTAACTACAAGATTGTGCAAGATTTTAAGGTGAAATTCATTGACTGCTGATTGTTATAGCATATTTAAATCTGCTATGTAACTTTTGAAAAACAAAATGAGAATGAAGACGTCATTTTTCAGGCTATTAAAAAAAATCTGTTTTTATAGCTACTGATAAAAATAAGTGGTATTAGAACTTATCCTTTGGGACACTCTTATTAAGGGGACTGTTAAGGCCAAATAAAAAAAATTCTAGTTTCTCGTCCCCTCGCGCATCTATTTTCTCTGCCTCACCAAATTTTTATTTTTTTATTTTTTTTAAATATCCTTTACAAAACTCACATCAGTAAAATTCCCCTCTTGATTGTTCGTGGTTGGGGATATATATGGTATGAATCATATTTAGTGCTTCTTTTATTTGCTTTCAATTTGTCTGCCTGGTAAAAGTGAGTAATTAGTATCTATTTCCCATTGACCATCTTAAATTTGCCATCTTGGAGTTAAAAAAAAAAGTTCCATCATCCTCCCTTTTTCAAAATATTAGCATGAGAAACCTGGCCTAAAATTAATTTTTTTTCATCCGAGAAGCAAGTGAAAATTATCCTTAACACTATTCAGGCGACACCCTTATTAAGAGAACACTTTTATTAATCCTGATGGAGTCACCTTAGTAGAAGCATGGACCTACTGTATTAATAAGTTATATTGTATGTATTGTAGTATTGCAAAATTATCTAAAATACTTCTTTTTTTTGAAGACCATTCTGGACTGCTTATTGCGAGCAATGGACAAGAATTCACTTCCATACTGTAGTGCAAGTTGGGCATTGGGAACAAAGCACATATTTCTTAGGCAAGTGCAACCTTTTCATGTATGTGTCAGATGAAAAATATATAAGTATAAAGGTGGATATAAATCTTCAGCTTACTAGTTGCAATATACGAAGATCAGAGACTGTTAAGAATTAGTTCACATGATAAATTGCTCTTAGTCTAAATGTTTCTATTTTGTGATCTATGTTTCTCAAGATCTACTGCATTCTATTTTAGGCACAGTATTGTTTTGGATATTGCCAACAAACAAACATCTTCAGCTTACTAGTTGCAATATATGAAGATCAGAGACTGTTAAGAATTAGTTCACATGATAAATTGCTCTTAGGCTAAATGTTTCTATTTTGTGATTTATGTTTCTCAAGATCTACTGCATTCTATTTTAGGCACAGTATTGTTTTTGATATTGCCAACAAACAAACATCTTCAGCTTACTAGTTGCAATATACGAAGATCAGAGACTGTTAAGAATTAGTTCACATGATAAATTGCTCTTAGTCTAAATGTTTCTATTTTGTGATTTATGTTTCTCAAGATCTACTGCATTCTATTTTAGGCACAGTATTGTTTTGGATATTGCCAACAAATCATTCATACTCTATTTATTTTAAAAGTTTTCATATTACATGTAAAAATCTTCTTTTTAACATTGGTGGCGTTGTAACCAAAGTGTAACATACCTTGTATATTTTCACCCAATAGCGAAGAGGCTGTTCAATATCTAGAGCTGTGTCTTGTAGAGAGGCGGCAGCAGGCGTTAACGCTGATTCAGTCACGAGTTAGAGGATGGAGATGTCGGAAAAGATGGCCGTTGCTAAAAAGACAGCTGAAGCTCCATCACATCACTATGAAGATAAAGCGCGAAACACCTCCATGTCGACCAAAATTATTTGATGTGTAAGTATAATTTGGGTCTCGCCATCCATCCCAAAACCTGTGTACTGTCGCTAAATTATTGTTAAACTAAGTACAGTTAAATTAGCTTAAGAAAGTGTCAGTATTGTATGCTTTAGTACAGAGAAGCCATAATACTTTTACTCATAACTTTAGCAATAGTAAGTCGTTTCACGTATTATAGGACCCATCATTTTAAAGCCTACAATATGTAGTATATTAGTCAATTTTCATTTTTTGATCAGTCACTGATGTTAGTTTTGGGATGGCAACTCTGATTCATATATTTGCAATGATACGGATTTAACAATAGGATAAGTGGTGCTGTATTCTGGTGGTGAAATACTTGGGTTTCCACAAATCTAGGTTCGAAGTGTTGTTGTCACAATTGTATTCCTTTTTTTTATTTCCTTATTTATTTTTATTTTTTTAAATTTTTTTTTAAATTTTTAAATTTTAAATTTTTTTTAATTTATTTTTTTAAATTAATTAATTAATTTTTTAAATTTATTTTATTTTTTTTCTCTTTAGTTTCTTTTAATTTGCAAATTTCTAGCGCATAGAGACCTATGTATTTTGCGCTTTACAAATCCAAATTATTATTATTATTATTATTATTTCATGATACATCCAACAGCTTAAAGGCTAATAACAGGATGTCTTATATAAAATGATGTTAAAATACATTACTATAAAAGATAGAAGAAACATTAAAACATTAATGAAATATCCAAGTAAGCAACTACTTGAATCTACATTAAAAACTTAAACCGCATTGTAAGACTTTATTGTAGACTCTGTAAATATTGTGACTTTAACTATCAAACTACAATTGTACAGCTGTTTCTAACAGCTTAGCAGGTAGCCCTTGTTAATAATGCTCAAATATAGATTATATATATTATTATTATTATTTTACTTTATTTTTTTTTCCTCTGAATTCATAGCATTGAACCACCCCCACCACCCCCTGGCCGACCCCCTCCTGAGTCGAATGAATACCAGAAACTGAAGATTATTCAACAGACTTGTCAGATATATGGACTCAATATGGTTAGTTGCATTATTTTGGGTTCTTTTTCACAATTATTTTCAATAAAATATATATTATGTTGGTTTCAGTGTTAATGTGTAAAATAAATGATAAATCAATTTGGAAGTATTTTGAGCGTAAAATTCTTGTTTTGGAATAGCCAATCAAAAAGTAGTTTGGCGCAGCATGTTGCTTGTGTCTTTGAGCAAGGCATTTTACCTGCATTACTTCACTCCACCCAGGAGTATTGGGTCCACAGTGATTGGGGATTAAAAAGTACTTTAAATCTGTTTTCCACTAGACAAATTTATTTGCGCGATTCAAAAACATTCCTGAGTTGTGATTGGTTGCGCATTTTTTCGCTTCGCAAAAAGTAGAAACAATTCGAACTACTGATTCTGCTAAAAAACTAAAAAAAAACGTGAAAGTGCAAGCGCATGAATCAACGTTTTCGATACACATGCATAAATTCGCCTAGTATAAAACAGGCTTCATAACTAGAAGGAAAAGCACTATACAAGCAATCAATAACAAGTCAAAATTTAACAAATGTGTTTCTTTCATGAATAATATAGATGTATAGATTATTTTGAATGTGATAAAACCTATAAAAGTTATTCCAATATCATGTATATAATAACAATAGCAATAAGCTATGCTCATAATCTGTATAACAACATATATAGATTATAATAATCAGACCAAAAGTTTTAGTTTTTATATTTAGATGTAAAATATATAAAGAAAGCAGCAACTTCTGTTTGTTCAAGTGCATTTTTTATTTTTTATATATTTATTATTATTATTATTATTATTATTATTATTATTAATATTATTTTTATTAATATTGTTATTATTAATATAATTATTAATATTATAGATGTGTATAAGAGACAAGGATAAACCACCTCCAATTCCAAGGAGTAGACCTTACACTGTAGCCGGTGGAGTCAAAGTTTTCTTCCCCCAGAGGCGTATCATGAAATGCAACTACCCAGGTCAGTTAATATTTAATATCTCTCATACTTGCTTGATAATTGCTTGATGATGGTGGGTCGATGAAAAGCTTGTAGTTTATAAGGCCCATCAAACATCATGACAAACTGTTTTTTCAATACAGTGACAGTGAATACCCGTGAAAGTTAGGGGATCCAGGAAATGAAAATGTAGTATTAGTTTGGCATATGATGAAACTACTGTATGTTGAAAATGTTTAAAGGTATTGTAAAAACAAATTTAAATGTAATGTCATTCCAGTGATGATGGTGGGTCGATGAAAAGCTTGTAGCTCATAAGGCCTATCAAGCATCATAGCAAACTGTCTTTTCAATACAGTGACAGTTAATACCTGTGAAAGTTGGGGGATCCAGGAAATGAAAATGTAGTATTAATTTGGCATGATGAAACTATGTTGAAAATTTTTAAAGGTATTGGGAAAACAAATTTAAATTTAATAATTAGCAATATGGAGTATCATTTTTAGAGATTTAATTTTATTTCCAAAAATTGCTTTCTTTCAGATGGTAAAAATTCAAAAACATTTTTAAAAAGCGGGGATGTTGTATTGGTGACTGGCGTTTCACAACGGCAAGGTCACCTGATTGTCCAACATAGAGGCTGTGCCATAGAGGTCCCACTCTGCCTTACGGAGGTCTATGTGAGTTATGTTTCACATTTCAGTTTGGGGGCACTCTTTAATCAGATTTTTTAGTTTACTACACTTCTGTAATCCATAAATAACATAAGAAAATTCCATATGTTAATGCACTTTATTATTGTTTTATATATTAATTCTGTACATTTTTTGATTTATTTATTGTTTATTCTATTATCAAATCTATTATACAACTTGTTAATTATAATTATCTAATTATTTTAATTTTGTTGTGTTATAAATATTATGTTTTTATTAAATTGTTTATTTGATTTATGTAATTTGTTTAATAATCTAATTTTAATCTATTTTTTATAATAATATTTTATCATTCATAATATATACAGTATATTTAATTTTATCTCATTATTAAACCATTATTAATATAACATTATTTTTTATTTGTTTTATTTTTTTAGAGAAATGTGTCCGCAGTCGGAACAAAGATTTGATATGATGCAGGCATCGAATCATAATATTGGCCGGGTTACCGCGCTTTGTGCAATTTTTGATTTTAAAAAATATCCAATATGCGAACACATAATAATGCAATAAAGACTCTTTTAAGATAAATGTTTGTAATAAAAATGGTAATGATAACTTTCATGAATAATATAGATGTATAGATTATTTTGAATGTGATAAAACCTATAAAAGTTATTCCAATATCATGTATATAATAACAATAGCAATAAGCTATGCTCATAATCTGTATAACAACATATATAGATTATAATAATCAGACCAAAAGTTTTAGTTTTTATATTTAGATGTAAAATATATAAAGAAAGCAGCAACTTCTGTTTGTTCAAGTGCATTTTTTATTTTTTATATATTTATTATTATTATTATTATTATTATTATTATTATTAATATTATTTTTATTAATATTGTTATTATTAATATAATTATTAATATTATTATAATTATGGTTGTTATTATTATCCATTGTTAATTTTGTTATTGTTTTTGTTGTCGTCACCACAGCCTCCATTGTTTTTCCCACCAGCATAATTATTAGTGGTATTTCTTGCCAATGACAAAGGAATCTATGTAAATTTTATCCATAGTCAAGCAGATATTAAAGGTGCAGATACACAGTTTGTTATTACTAGATATAGGAACATTGTACATGAAAAAATGATTTCAAAATAATTATTTGAGAATCATAAAATTGATTCTGATTATGATGATGATAGTGATTATTTTGATGAGGATAGTAAGGATGATGATAAAAATGATGACAGTTAAACAGTGATGATTACATTAATGATTAATGTATGTTGATGATGATGATATGGATGACATTAATGTTATGATAAAAATACATGGTAAAAATATTGATTAGAATGATGAATGACAACTATGATGTTGATAAAGATGGTGATACAGTTATGATTATGTTAATGATAAACATAATTATAGCATTGGTAAGGATGATGATATTAATAATAAAGTTGATGATGTGAATGATGTTGTTTGCTGCTGATTGTGATAATTACCCAGGATAAAAATAAATAAATAAAAATAAATAATTAAAAGATGATGATTGTTAAAGATAAAAATAATATATTATGGCTTATGCAGACTAAAATGTGGTGAAGTGGACACACAAAAATAGCGATGAAATGTTCCATTGAACCTGTCATTGAACCAGTTCCATTGAACCTGTCAGAATACAACACATGCCTTTTTGTATTTTAAATATGTATGGTTCTCTCATCATCCTACCTCCTAGTTATTTTTATGAATATTTGTGGTCAAATTTGTTTGTAATTTTCATTTTTCTTAGAAATCAATAATATGAAGTCCATTCAGTTAAAACTAAGATTAGTCTTTGTAGTTCATGGAAAAGCAATTTACTGCACATGTAAAACATCACTTGTATATTGCTTTAAGTAAGGCCATGCCCAGACCATCAAATCTCATCTGAGCTTAAGAATTACGTTTACATGTTTACACTTAAATCAAATTGCATAAGTAATCTGCCCTTTATTAAACAGACTTTATTAACCACATGAGATTTATGAACTGCATATTGGATGAATTCATGGTAAAGAATCTATTATTGTTATTTCTCAATAATAACCGGGGGTCACGGAAGTGTCCTGGAAATCGCAAAGGTCAACCACACTTTCACAAGCAAGCAGGAATCTCGAGAATTAACTCTTATTCCTTAAATTTACGATATTTGCATGTTTTTACTTAGACTTCCCCTGAGTCTCTAATTTATTGATTTTCTTAGTGTTAAAAACTTTTGGAGAATGCTACCAGCATCTGTTTATATTGAGAAACATTTTGAAAAGTATAGTATGGAACGCCATTGGTGCAAAGAAATAATATGGAACGCCATTGGTGCAAAAATATTAATAGTTTTCACTGATTAAAATTAGGGACAGGAATCCAGTCTAGTTGTTATTATACTATATTATCAATTGCCTTCGAGAAGTCAGTGTCAGTGGGTATCAAATGTAGTGTCAGTGGGTATCGTGCTGAGAAAGCTCATTTTAAAAGACCTTCTATAGAGTACTACGTAAGTGTCCCCCTTTGTTGCCAACCAGACATTGGTCAAGCTGTCATTATGCCTGAATAACTTCATAATCCCAATGATTAAGAATAGGCATTTTAAAACTGAATAATTTACCATCAAAATGTACTAAAAGCACAAAAGCTCACCATATATTATTTATTGACCTTATATGTAAAATCATCTGTTAAGATTTACAAAGAAAAATTAAGATAAAACATCATAAAATAATTACGTTGGGATCAATATTTGTCAGTGGAGACAATGGATCCGGTTGAGCGCATTTTTTGTCGCTGATAGCAACGGAATAGTATCACATGGTATCGTGATTTAACAACGTAGTACTCTATAGGTGGCTTCTTCCAATTTGGCAAACCTGAAGAACTCCATGGTTATATTCAATTGTTATTATTTGTATTTATGCTATGTTTTGTATGATTTGAATTAGTTTGACTTTTGTACGAAATATATATATGAAAAGCAATATAAATAAAATATCTTTAGTAATGCATATATCAAGTTTCTGGTTTGTGTTTGCACTCTATTTCATTATATTTGTATTTTTAATAAGGTAATAAGTTGTTGATCGTCCCCTCCCTACATAAAAAAAATCACCCCGACCAATTTTTTTTTTTCGCCAAAACTCCCGAAAATATAGTCTTTCTGGCCATAATTCAACTTCGGCTAGGCTTAGGCCTTGCACGCCAAGAGGGATTTGAAGACTTGGCATGTACAAAAAAAGACTTTTTTAAAAGGACGATCAACAACTTTTTTTTTACATGGAATTATTGAGACACTTTTAATTATTTCTTTTACCAATGCACATTTGAAACATTGAATAATAAATAATGAATGTTTTATTTATCCATCATCATCATCAGGAAATATACAGTAAGTATTAACAATACTGACAACATTGAATTATATTCTGACCATAAATATATGATTATATTGACTGTACATTATTTTATTTAAACTGATTGTCACCCTCACTATTTTTAATTTAATATACTGTACTCATCAAATGTAACAATGATCTTTAAATTCTACCCTCTTTAGACTACACTCCGTTGCGATGTAGTTGGTGGTAATCTAAACCAACGAGCACATTCAGACCAAATCAGACACAAAAAACTTTATATTGGAACGGACGGTCATACGGTACTATAATAGACCTCCTGTTGGCTAAACCTATGTTGACTGACCTCAGCCAATCAGTGCCGGTGGAATTTGTTGCGATCAGATTCCGTGGTAATCGGGAGATTGTAATGGTGAACAATTGCGATATTGATTATTTATCGACTACTGTTGGTGAGTTCTCGCACACACGATTGCGAATTGCGATTGGGGTTTTTTTTTCATTTGCTAAAACCGATCGCAATGCGATGCTAGTCTGAATAGGGTATTACAGTAGTCTCAAAGGCTTACGAGTGGAGTGCAGAGTTGCTTCTTCTTTTTGGTTATGAGGACAAATCCTGGTACCACAAGATTTGAACCCAAGATCCTGGGGTTTGCTACCTGGCACATCACGTTACAGACCCACAACTCTTCTAGTTATTGCACAATAGTTTCAATTTATTTTAAATATAAAATCAGTATATTTACTCTATACAGTATAAGGAAATATAATATGATATACAGTAGTATATTTGTATTGGTGTTGGTGTAGCTCTTGATTCCCCCAAGAGTGTTATTGGTTTTAAAATTTTACACTGTCCATTCTATTCCATGGATAGACACAGTACAATGAGTACATATTGATCACAGGTGTTTGATCACAAGTTCATAATACAGTTGTCCAATGCACTATAAACCATACATTATATGCAGGCATCCAATGGCTGATTAATCTGGTGTTCATATGCAGGTGTCCAGTGGGTTTTTTTCCCCCATACTTATAGAGGGTGTCCCTTCCATTGTATCCTATAGAATGTTGGCTGATATTCAGGGGCCCTCTTAAATAAATGAAAAAATATGATGCTTTTATCAGCGAAGTCCCTTTATGAGGCTTAGGGAGTGGAGTTGTTTTTAGTCGTGAGAAAAAGTCCTACTGTCACAGGAATCGAACCCAGGACCCTGGGCTTCGAAAGCATCTTAACCACTAAGCTATTCAACTCCACTCCAACCACTGACCAAATGCAGGTGACTAATGGTTGATAAATCACATGTGTTGATATATGCTCAGTGGCTGACTGGTAACAGATGTTCATATGTGGTGTCCATTGGCTGGCTTTTTCACCTGTGTTGATATGCAGGTGTCCATTAACTAATTAATTAGAGGTCTTGATACGTCTGGATAAGTTCATTTTGAAACGTCATCCCCAAGGAAGCTTCGATCTTGCTCAGCTCTTCAACGCAGGCTTCTCGCCGAGCATGAATCTGAGCGATAACTGCATCATGCTCTCGACTGAATTGCTGAAATCCAAACTGAAAGAAAAAAACATGTACAGTATTACTATTTCATTAATTAATGATGGTTTCATAGAGTTAATTTCATAGTTCATAGTACATTTTATTTGTCCTTTCAGAAATTGGGTTTAACATACAATTGCTCAAATGATAGTAAGAAAAGGAAAATGTACTAAAATTATAAAGCATAAAAATAATCTTAATCTACAGAAGGCTTATAAGAATTCAGTTCATTAAATATGCAACAAACAAATTTGAGAAATGTGTTGTCCTGCATAGAGCAGCCCTAAGTTGTCTAACAGATCTTAACCATTGATAATTACTATGAAGTGGATGGTCTTTGTCTTGCATTATGGCTACTACTTAGTCAGACTTTCTCATTGCTTATTTACTAAGCATTGTACATTTTTAAGATGGATTTTCGGAAGCTACTAAACTAAATAATTCAGCCATATATAAGAACACTTTCCATTATTCATTTGTAGAACAGTTGTAGAATTAAAATGATTTAGTTTTCTTAAAAAGTATAGTCTAGAATTTCCCTTTGACATGATTAATTTACACTGTTCAATCAAATTAAGCTTATTGCCAATTATCATACCTAGTAATTATACTTTATCGACACAATATCAATACTAATCGAATAGAAAACTGGTAAATACTTGACAAAACAAAATGGCTGCATAGTTACCGCGATACTGCTTAGAGTTTCTTCGGCTTGTGGCAGTATATGTTTTACGTTAAAAATGTTTTCATCCAGTCTATTTTACGAATCAGTCGAATGAATATAATACTCAACAAAAAATCGTAGTCAATGAAAAAAATTCGAAAAAAAAAATCAAAATACATATTAATATTATATTCAGGCGCGGATCCAGACCTTCGAACCGTTACAAGTAACAGGTCAGGGTGAGAGATAAAAATGAAAGTGATTGCAACTTCATGAATGACGATGTTAGGGACTATAATCAATCGGTAGCATTCTATGCTCATGAGCAGCGCCGGGCGGTTTGGC